CGAACAGGGCACATCCTCCCGTATAGGTGACCTATAACAACAATTCTCGCCGGTCACGGTAGCCGAGCGGTCTAAGGCATGCACTGTCTTCGCTCGCTCGGAAGCCGAGATCGTGGGTTCGAATCCCACTCAGGGCATGGATGTTTGTGTGCGTTTTTCTGTGTTTGTCTACAGGTAGAAGAGGCCTTGCGACGAGCTGATCACTCGCCCAAGGAGTCCTACCGCATGTGTAAGATCTAGAAAAACCGAAGTGAAACGGAGAGTTTCATGGAGGTAGGCCTAGGCCCAAATTGGGGCTGTAGCGCCACGGAAAAAAAAATAACAACAATTCTCACTCTTTCGCCCATGTTCTTCTGTTTCGACCCTAGTCTCAATGTACCACTGTCTTACTCTGGTACTCTGTGCTATGATTTCGTCCATTCTTTCTACACATTCAAACCATCGAAATATTTTATTTTCTGTACGATGGTTCCTTTCATGCTGTTTCCCCCTGTGCTTCAAAATATGAAGCGACCGATAAGGTTGAACACGTGGACACGGAAAATTCCGTTTCCGGTCGAGTCCGTCCGTAACGATAGCTAGCTCTCCTGGTCGCTAATGTAGGCGGGTGATCCCTGCTGCTTGTGACGTAGTGGGACGACAGCAGCCCGCCCACGCAACACCCGCCAAGTGGCGACAATTTGCAGACCTTCATTCCAGCCCAAACTGTGAACCGCGAGCCCACACGCAGCTGTCTCTTCCCATGACCCGTGGCTGGCCTCTGTACCACAGCGGGCATTCCTTGCGTAACGTCACATACGGGCCTGGTTGTCCGAAGAGCTATGCCACTTGCCGACATCTTCCGCGCACCTTACATACGCTTCCTATATTCCCATCTACTGTGACAAACTGGTGGCTTTATCACCACTCAGAAATGCACGCCATTACGTCATAACTACGAAGTTCTGTCACTCATTATAATGAGTGATAATTGATAATTATCAATGGCCCTACAGCCCTTTGTAGGGCCCTGACCGATTTTTTCGTAAACCTATATACACTGTCGGTTGGACTTTTTATACGGGGGATCAGCCAGTCGCAATGCCTCTACTTACACACAGGGCAACACAAACACAGACATCCATGCCTCGAGTGTGATTCGAACCCACGACCACAGTGTTCGAGGGGACAAAGACAGTTCATGCCTCAGACCACGCGGCCATCGTGATCGGCATAATGAAGAAGTTACTGAGTTCTATTTTCAAATCATTCCCGTATTCACACGCCGGTGGGAAATCCAAACATATTTACACAAGCCGTTGGCTGCACAAGGCATGACGCACCCTTGTTCCTTCAGTGGATGGGCTCTGTCGTACCGTTAGCAGCCATGCGAACTGAGGTTCTCACGCCGTGCAGTCCGGTAGCTTGTTACCGATGTTTCAGGTGAGTGAGCTGCCTCCACTGCTCCTTACAGGACATACATCCCATGATGATGACTCTCCGGCCGGCAAAACATTCTTCCAACCCTGAAGGAGGCGTCTCGTCCTACGAAACGTCAGTTTCTTCTGTTGGAGGTTGTCAAGAGCCCGACTATATACCATCAAATAATTTATGACGAACTGTAAATTATCTGGAAGGACTCACTTGTGGCCTTATTTTAGGAACGTCAAATGCCTATGAGTACGGTCGCCTGGTTGCAAATAAAAATGGAGGGGCTTCCTTCACACACACACATATACAAAATGCTTTTTTATCAATTGACAACATGTTTCTGCCAAGATACGCACGCCATCACAGGAAGATTCTTGTAGAAATACACAAATTGTGATAGACTACATATAAACCACAGCAAAGGGTAAAAAGAATAAGGCTATCCTTGTAACAGGTCGCGGAGGCCCACGGGGTTATGAAACGTTGAGGCTCCCATATTTCATAGATAATCGGCTCACAGATGGCGGTGAGGTTGTCAGCCTTACGCACCGGCCACCCTTTACCCCCAGGAAGATTCCTGGTACTCATTTCTGTTAAAGGCTGAGTCGACACCAGCGTCAAGATTAGGTCAACTGAAATATCCAATGACATCGGGACTTGAACCCGCGACCTTCTGGCTTGTAGCATAGTGCCTCGATCAACTACGTTACCGCGTGCCCCAGAAGTTGTTCTGGTAGTGGCCGTATCTGCCGGCTACTGTGCTGCGTTTGTGTGGAGGGCTGATTATTTGCTGCATCATAAACAAAATTCTGAGGCACCCGGTACAGTCGGCACATAAAGCGCACAGTGCAGAGGAGCTTCTGCTGTTAATCAGAGCGCAGCTGGACTGTCTGCTTTCACCGGTCGCTTTCTTTTTATACACGAGGTGGACTGATTTGTCTCAAGCCGACACGGCTCAGTTGGAACACGCCGCTGCGCGTTCGATATGTCAACCATAGAATGCTCCGAATGTTTCCTCCCCAGAACCACTCTTCCTATTTTGATGCATTCCTTTACTTACATACGCTTTGTTCGACGATGCTGTCAGTAGCTCAAGCTACACGGCATCAAACGGTCTGATTCGTGGAAAGAAACGCTCGTGACGCACTGTCCCGGTCCTGGCTCATCGGGTTGTAGAAAACTTTCTGTCTTCCTGAATTTGGCAGTTTATAGACCGTACCGGCCCCATAATCCCGCACTCTTCACCTTGTGAGTTATCTTCTGGCCACCTGTGTTCTCCCACTGTATCTACTTATACATCTCTTCAACTACAACATGGCCCTGAAGCTGAGTACATTTGTCAGTGCGCGCTGTACACGTATATCCAGCAAAACGTCTTAAAATCCGTATTTTCTGCCATTTGCACCCTTCTGCCTATCATCCTCGCGTCATTATTGCTCTTTACCGCTGGTTAAACGAACATTTGGAACATTTCCAATGTGTACATTAAATGCAATGACGCCTAATGTGTTAACTAATTACGTGGCAGAGGTACAGCTTCTCAACCACAGATGAAGGTGAGCTGTTAGCTTCACGCCCCGCCCTCTTTACTCCCGGTGAAACAGCCCCCCTACACCCACTGTCTGGGAGGCTGGAATGGGTTCCAAAGCCAGTCTGTAAGGTATGAAAAAAGAGATAACTCCTTTGTCCCTGCCGGGGATCAAATCTCGAGTTCTCAACCGTCCAGCCCGTCGCTATACAGACTGAAGGTGCATCATATTACATTACAGAAATGTCTGTAAGCTACTCCACTTGTACATATAAATGCTTGCCTTTCATTTCCCTGAACCTTCTTCATGTCGAGGTTCAACAGATTTCCCGCAGAACACCCACTTCTTTAGGACGGTGTTACACATCTAACCAGCTCGCTTCACGTCTTGACTGGCGTGCGTGATTTTGTTTAGTACCAACCAAATGTAACCCCTGCTTCACCTGAAGCTCCAATAAAACTATTACTGAGTGTCTGTGTACAAGTTAATACAAGTTCAGTAACAATGAGTCAAGCCCCTGAAATTAGGCAATTCTGGGTTACCATAGCAACCAACTGTTCAGCGTTGACGGATGGAAGTTGCGCAACAGGCCACAAATAAGTAAGCACTCTTGTTTCCAAAAACAATCGAATTTCTCCGGATTCACGTGGCTTATAAATACTATTCATTCATTCATCAGTAATCTGTCAGATGACAGGTCCACAGTCTCTTTCAAAACAGTTCCTCCACTTAATGCAATCCTCTGCTTTCGGAAACAGAAAAGTGATAGTGATAGTTGTAGTTTTTCCATTTGCTTTGCTTTCCATCAGATGAAGAGACACCAAAAACCATAAATACTATTACCGAATTAATAATTTAACTTTATTTCTGATTTTAACTGGCCCTTGTCTAGTGCTATATATGTATGTAATCTATCACTGTCATTAGGCAATTTCAGGCTACCATAGCAACGTACTGTTGAGTGTTAACATGCGGCAGGAACATAAGTTATGCAGCAGATCTGCTCGTGTTCATCACGTTTGTTCAGAGTACTGGTAATGTTGTGATGTGGATATATGAAATGCAGTATGCTACATAAAGGAGACGGTTTACAAATTACCATTTGTGCGTGTTATTAGTGGCAGACAGCATGTAGGGCTGGGTAGCGATGGGAAAGAAAGGAGGAGGAGTTAATGATATGAAAGTCTGTGCAGCAGATTATCAACAGGCGTTACAGTAGTTAAGATTAACAGGAATTAAGGAACAAACAACGCTCCGTAACTAGCCCCTGACAGCTCATACTTGCTGACGTACTTCAGACATCCCCTGCAAATCGAACGTTCAGTACCGCATCCAGCCCACAACCTCACGCACTCCTTCTTTCACATCCATTTTAATATTATCTCATTGTTTTCTCCTAGACTTCCAACGTGGTGTTTACCCGTCAGGTTTTCGAATGAAACTGTAAGAATTTTTCATCCGTCCTATGCGTACTATATGCATGGTCCATGTCATCACCTGGCCTATTAACATGTGGTGAAGAATACAAGTTACGGGGACATTTTCTCCAGCCTCCTCTTACTTCTTTCCTCTTAGACCCGAATATTCTCCTCAGCGCAATGTTCTCAGACACCCTTACTCTCGAACCGTCTAGGATATATTGCCGTGCAGTCCGAATAAGTTCACGATGTTACACAGCAACATACTGCCTCCATATTCTGGGTTGCTGCTCTACTTGTTTGCCTGTGTCTCGCTGGTTACTTCCTTTGCTTGCTTTCCGACTCTGGAGATGAGAGCAGTACGCTCTCCCCGAAACGCCTGTAAACTTTTGCCAGACTATACGGCCTCAAATACCACACGACATATTCTCCATTGTTACTGCTATGAAAATCTCAAATCCAACTGTTAATCTCGTTTCAAACCCATTCAAACAGGGGACAGAATTACAGCTGTGTATATTCTAGCAGAAGCCACCGCATGCTGCTTGTAATCTGCATTAATTGGTACTGTGCAGAGAAAGAAAGGGACCTAAGGTAGTGCAGTAAAAGGATTCTGCGAGAAACAAAGAAAGGTGCTCGTTACCTCCAGGATCTCGTCGCCGACCTGGATGCCGCCCGAGCGAGAGGCCGCGCCGTTGGGGTTCAGGCCACACACGAACACGGCCATGCGGCTGCGGTCCTTGTGCCCCGCGAGACTCAGCCCCAGGCCCTGCCGGCCCCGCTCCAGCTGCACCGCCAACACAGAGTGCCCCAGGGATCCATATTTCTTCTTCACCTTATCTGCAACATCACCAGCATTGGTACCTCTGAACTTATACAAGGCCCTCAGTTTCATACTACAAACAGCCAGCGGTGCCCCAGTAGAATCCGAACATCCTGAAAATCTTTCTTGGTGTTCAGATATTAACTCTCTGGTACCAGAACCCGACGGTTCAACACCGATAATACCACTGGAAACGATCCAGAGCCAGTTCCACGCACCTACCATCCTCACCGTCTATTCCCCTACGATCCATCCTTAACTACATCTCTCGTAGCAAACATGACGGTTCAACAGCCATCACTGGGCACGCCTCTGAATTACTTCCAACTTTCAAATCCTATTTCCCTAAAAAATCAATTTTAACATTATCGTTATCCTCCCACCTACTCCCTGACTTTACACGAGAACCCGAAGGTTCAACACCGATAATATCAAAGCCCTTCAATGGGCACGATCCTTGGCTAGTTCAAACCCTATTTACGGAGGACATAGATTAGTAACATTATTGCATCTCGTTCTGGTCGCTTCCCCACAACGTACTCCCTGCATCTCCCACGTGAGTGCATGGTAGCCTTCATTCCACTACGCTAACAAGATTAGCAGACCTGTAAATATCCTACACGGGCCACAACAGACCGTTGTGTTGGAGGGCGTGCTTCCAGTCTCTGGCCACGCTAGCAAGTTGCCAGTTGCACGCCAAGGACACCTCAACACAAGTGTGACTCTGCAAACACCAGCTGACCTTGCCTCGCAGCAACATATGTTGTTCTGACAACAGCAATTTCTGCGACTCTGCATCAAACACCATACTATGCCTGGTTCCGAGGCTTACGTTCATTTCCTTCGATAGCCACCAGGGTCATTCTGAGATCTAAAATGTCTTCAGGGCATCTAAACATGGCGGCAGATGCGTTAGTAAACCTTCCACCAGACTACACTGGGCGATCTCAATATTCACCAACGTGAGGGCCTTAAATCCCGCAGACGTATGAGTGTCCACCTCTCGCCAGTCTCCAGTTTCGGCACACATGTACTTCAATAGACGCCTACAGTTCTGTATTACGTGGAAGTATGCATCTATTGCGTACGTAATTGCGTCTGCTGGATCGACTCGCCTGTCAAGCGCTTATTACTATTAGCCCACTTTCATGATTTTGAACAAAATAAAATGAGGCTCATGAAACCACTTTGCTGTCCGTGTATCCCCCTCATTTTTTCGTTTTCCATGCAGTCAGTGCCGTATCTAAGGAAAGTAGCAGATTAGTTCTTCCCAGAACTTATTTTTCTTACATAGTATTAAAATAGCAATTAGAATGATCAAATCAAGACGTATAAGATTTGCGTGGCAGGTAGCAGGCACGGAGGAGAATAGGAATACGTACAGGGTTTCGGTGGGAAAGCCACAAGGGAAGAGACCACTAGGAAGACCTCGGTTAAAATGCTCGCAGTACCTCTAGGACGACTACTAAGAGTTTTTGTGTAGCATGCATGGTGTCTGTGGATACAACAGACGATGGCCGGAATGTAGGTATCAGTCATGTGCTGTTTCCATGGCAACTGTGCGCTCCTATAAACATTTCGTAATATACAACTGTATGAAATCAAAATATTCAGAAGAATTCCACCATGACCGATGAAATGCCTAATTTAGGAATAACTTCGCGGATTATACAGTTAATCAGGCCAATATGATGGGCAGGACTGCGTACAGATTTTTTCTGAAGAAACTTCATGGTAAACGACCTCTTCGTAAACCAAATCATGATAGATTATACGGAAACAGGTTGCGAGGTTGGTAGGTGGACAAAACTTGCTCAAAATCGTGTTCAATGGCTCTGCTATACAGACCCTGTTTCAGTTAATAACGGGCTCATTTGCATGTGCAATAAACAAGCAAATGTGTCATGCAAAATCGGTAAGAACGCATTTGAAACGCGTGTGTATCCAGCCAGAGTAACCTTTCTGTTTCGGCTACTCTGAGTAGCGCACACGTCAACAGCATACTGGATGAAGGATCCTTCAGCACCTCTATTTGAGGATCAAACACAAGCAGCAGAAATCCATTCCTCCGGTACGCGGGTCGATCATGCGAAAAACCTTACACTACACACTGATCTCTATGCCCAAATTGCATTTCTCGTATGACAGCGGCGTTGCAAGTTACCCTTTCAAAACAACGGTTACGATACACACAGCCTTCTGTAGCAGAGTTTTAACACTCTGAACTCTGCTATGCATTTTCGCGTGATTCTTAGGATAGACAGTCATTATTTTACTGAACTTCACTGACAGGTTGCGGATTGTAATGGAGGCGTAGTGTGTCATCTGTGAAGAAGGAAATGAGGATTACTGTCTCATAGGGCGTGACGCCGTGTAGTCAGGTATATATACCTATCAGCGTTTCGGAGGAACCTGCTGGCTCCACCTCGACCCATCACAGCAGATACCTCAGAGTCTAGAACTGAACAGAATCACATCCCAAGAGACAGCGGGCTTCAGAGTCGCCACAGTCAGATCCTCCGAACTTGTGTACGTACTAAATCTTAAAGTATTTAGATGGATATCGCACTCCAGAAGGACAAAATACCCCCCTCCCCCCAAGCCACTCACAGTTCAGCTGGCACACTAAAAGCGAATTATGAGAAACCTGGATTCTGCACATTGTTCTTACCATTAAGTCGAGAAATATATAAAACTAATTTATGTCCATTTCTATGTGGGAGTCGAACCTGGCCTCTCAGCCTACGAGAATAACACGGACCGAGGGTGCCTGAGAACAGAGGAANATGAGGAGCTTCATAATTTGCACTCCTCGCCAGATACTAGGATAACCCAGTATACAGAGGCGTGAAAAGCAGCACTCATGAAAGACAAATGTATACAAAATTTTATGTGGAAAACCTGAAAGGAGACTTAGTGGCAGAATCATACTAAAAAGAAACCTTACGAACTACCGTGGGGGACTACGAACTCGGTTCCTCTGCCTCAGAATAAGGTCCAGTCGTGGGTTCCTCTTTGCACGTCAATGAACCCCCAATGGTTTCACGGAAGAAGGGACATTTCTTGAGTAGATGAGAAACTATCAGCTTCTCAAGAAGCACTCAGTTCCACTGTGTGAACTGGTTGCACAGAAATATGGAAGCTGGCGTATCGATTACGGTCTAAATTCGCATTCGGGAGGCACTCGGTTCGAATCGCGGCTGAGACAAAAGTTATCCTGATTGGGATTCTTAGTTGTTTTGCACAGTTCCCTCTTGGCAAATTCCGGGAAAGTACATCGATTAGGTCACGGCCCTTCCTTCCAAATCCTTTTCAATTCATTAATTATCCAACCAATCAAGGATACATTGTCTAGCTACTGACTCTGTCATTCAGGGCCCTCGCCCTCCTAAAGCAGATTCTGCAATAGGACGTGCCTCGTTCAGTGCTGACTGCCCAGAGTGGCTCTATACCGTGAATCATGAGGACACACTCGCCACTCAAACCTGTGGCTAAATATAAGACGCTTTATTTTGAAAGGCGGAACGCACATGCCGGTGCTCTCAACTGATAAAAGGCAATATCAATATGCCCTTGTTACAGGAACCTGCATAACGAGGCCCGGTAATCGCGAGCCTTCAGAACACATATGTACCATGTGCTTCAACGTTATAAAACTGTATTCTTCCCCAAACAGTGCACTTACGTTTTCTGTGTGACTGTGTTTTCCAGCGAGTAAAAAACTCGAATTCTTGTTTCTCATTTACAGCAGTTTGTGCATTAACCCAGAAAAGACAATAGCAATACTCTTCACCCGACGTCCACATGGGCGTCAACCCGAATTTAGATCATTCGACCATTGAATTCCTTCACCACGGACAATGAAATATCTTGAGTTAATTTTGGACGGAAACTCCTGAGAACTGAATATAAAGCGTAGCTTATAGGGGCGGGAAAACGCTGGGCACGAGTTCCATATGCCAAAACAAGGAAAAAAGTACATATCAACATCTCTCGAAACATTTAATTTGTGAGTTATAGCTGAAAGGGTACGTTTATAATAAAGGTTCAAAAAGTCCACCATAACACTCAATGCACGCCTCGACATGTATCATCATGGACTGCAGCATCCCTGCAAAGGTGCCGGTGTAGATGTGGATAGTCTGACAGGTATCCACAGTGCGTTGTCAACAGGAGCTGCATACACAATAATTTTTGCGTGCCCCCACAGGTAAAAATCCAGAGGATTCAAATCTGGCGAACGTGGAGGCCATGCAGTGGGTCCTCCTCTGCCTATCCATACGTCATCATAAGTGTTACTGAGAACATCTCGCACAGAACGGCTAAAATGCGCCCGAGCACATGTGCTCTGACTGCCAGTGGTACATCTTCCAGTAGATTTGGCAGATCATGTAAGAGGAAATATCGGCTATGGTTGCCTGTCAGCCGATGTGGAAAAATATGTGCGCCCACTAGACAATCACCAATACACACTGCCCATACATGAACAGTGAACTGCTGCTGGTATCCTCACGCTACGCTTTCAGCTATAACTCACAAATAAAACGTTTCCGGAAACATGTTGATACGGGAATTTGTTCCCAAACTCTGTCCGCACCTTCGTTACATCCTGTATAAACAACATGGCTAACAAGAATTTCAGAACTGCACCCCTTCCCAAGAATAAGTTACATGTCCGAAAATTGGGTAGCTTAATACAGTCTTGAGGTGAATTCTCCGCATTTCCGGCACGTTAGCAAATGTAGGCATAACGCAACAGCGTTGGCGTAAACTTAAGTAACCGAAAAAACAAGTGCATTTGGCACAAAACGCGCGTTGCTTTGCTTTTCTCGCCAATATTCATCCGGAAAATGTTTCGCTTCGGTGTTCGGGACTCACGCTCAAGTTACGCGCAGAAACGCATGTAGGTCTTCATTTAAGGTATCAGTTACTGCCGATTAGAAAAACCGGAATTGATAAATTTTGGTGAAACTTTCCAATTTCAAATTCACGAACAGACATAGCCACAAACTCTTCA